AGCTCAACTCATATCATTGTGGGAAAATTGTTCTTCTACCAGTCCTTCATCACCTTAAACGAAATTGGGTTAATACATCTCATATTACTGAAAATATCAACATTATATTGACTGATTTCCAGCAAAATCGTGTATAGACAAATAATCTTTGACATCGTGACTCGACTTTTAACTTCAGATTAAAATATGGTGGGAAGGAATTCATGGATCAATCTTATTGTACACCGAAGTAATTAGGTCTGCAGTCGGCCGCAAATTATTTTAGTATAGTATATTGGTGCGCTAATTCGTAAAGTATGGTTTCTTGCTCTGGTAATATCTGTCACATGACAGACGAAAGTTTAGTGCAGGTTCATTGGATTATAAGGATAGTGAGCCGATGATTTCCTTGCACAAATTAGCTGCTTTATTTTCACGGCAATCAATCCTTCGGTTTCTGGTTCCACTAATTCATGAATTCCTTCAAAAAACATTTCCATCGAAATGTAGCTACCTAATTAAGGAATGTTTCGGAACCCAACTTTTATTTATATACTTTTTGACGATCCCAACTCGTAGAATTTTATGATGCTATAATCAATCTAAGACGTATAATATATATGCAACAATATCTCATCAGGCAAATTAGAATCTTGGTATGAAAATTAAGTGGTTATTTATTAAAATCTGGCAAATAAAGGTTGTATGAGATTCTTTCTTCCTATTTCGTTTAAAGTGATGGAGGACTGGTGGTTGAATTTTTCCACAGTTATTTGAGTATGACTTACGTTTCCATGCAATTCAGCATAGCATTGCTTCTCAAGAGGTATTCTCATCCAGGCTGGAGTGGACTGTATTTCGATCTCGCCTGATCTGGTCTCATCACAACCCCCAGGCGAGAATCTAACCATGGCAGGACAGTGTCTAATCCCGACACGTTAATCACTACGCCGCATTTCCACGAGAGCTCTTGGGTCACAGGGCATATATCAATTTGAAGGAAGGCCAGGCGTTATTTCATATCACATAAAACTTCGCTTTTCTGAATGCATGTAGGGTAAGTATGAAGAAGCCAGCAAATTCATTAGATACAGAAATCGGGTATAGGAAAAAAGTAAGATTTCAGCCAGCTGCTTTTTTTAGTTTTATGATTTGGGTAACTTTTCGTAAATGTTATTTTCTGGTTGTAAAGATGTCTGCCACTTCAGGGTGGATGTAAACCCAAAACGAACCCGTCGGGACAGCAGAATGATGAGTCAGAGTCTTTTTCGCACACATTAATTCCTCATTCGGTTTCCGTTGAGGCCAATATACTCATCCTTTTAACCCACCTTTTAAATTGAAATGAAAGATACACTAACATGAATTGAGAGCAGTGGAACTGTAAAAAAATGTATTCACTCTAGATCGAAGACAGATGATAAGGGTTTAATAGTTGAATTGTTCAACTATGATTTCAGTAGGTCTCACTATTCCATAGAATCTCACTCGGCTTTGCCTACCAAAAGTTTATCTCATCCAGGCTGGAGTGGACTGCAGTTTCGGCCTTACCTAAGATTCGTCAATACCCCCAACGGAAATTGAACCTTCCACGTATAATCTTGGATGTTGCTACTGCGCTACACCGCCATGAGTGCAAGGCGTTTACGAGGCGAACGTGATCGTGAATCATTGGACTTTGAATAAGAGCTGTATTCACTCTAGGCTGTATAGGGTGATAAAGGACACTGATTGTTAATTTTCCCGCAATGATGTGAGTAGGCGTTACGAAACCGACTCATCATTTAATAATAAAGTTTTATTCGATAGATGAATCTACGTTCACGATAACAGCCGACACCCAACTGTTTTTTAACGTTTTTAACAGTCGGTATTTCGATTATTTATTTTATCGGGGGCAGATTCACCATCGGTCCACTAAGCAACCGATAAAAGCAAGTTCAGCCCAAAATCAGTCTGAGAAACGAAAGGAGGGTGCCTCGTGGAATACGTTAGCCTTCACGTTATCAGATAGTGCCATGGTAGCTGGCCAAGGCCATTTTACTGTCATATTTAGGAAAAAGTTGGACATACTGCTTCTGTCAACACTTTCTTTTACACGGTAGGAAAACCAGTTTAATCTAGCGTCACTTTTACTCACATTTATACTTTGGCGCAGGTTGCATGTAATGTTTGATGAAATTCAGCCAAAAAAAGTGAAACTCCCTTATCTACAATGGGCATAGCTTAACATGCTTCAAAATTAACGTGAGGGATCGGCTAAGGCTGTTGGTTAACTGTATGAAAAATACATGCACATATAGTTTGAATGTATAAATTTTTATTATAAATTATATATTTGCATAATGTTTCTATTTTATAACTGTATATCTGGTTTTTATTAGTTATACGCATTGTTTGAAAATATCTTTTTATTATATTTATGATTATAATTACACATATTATGTTTATATTTTGTATCTACTTGGAGCTCATAGAAAGAGGAAATAATCATATGAATATAAAATATAAACTTAATATGTGTTTACATAATCATATACATAAATATTTTTAAATGCTGAGGTGTTTGGCATTTCCAGAAGAGTATTGTTGTGATCTTAAACTTCGTGCTACTGAATATACCACCCCGGCGTGTGTAGAGGAACCCGAAAAACGAGTAATGAAGTACCACTTATAAAAGGCAAGAAAAGTTACAGGCCAAGATTCGGAGTTGGAGAATCAAAGTCGATGGTGAAGTGTGGTGTTGGTGTAAGAGAGCGGTGTTCTGTCGCAAAGACTCAGTGATCGGCCGAGAAGCAGCCCCTGGTCCAAGGAGTACTGAATACTTCTAATGCCATGTTCTGATCGGTTCAACAGGTTAGGCTCAATTTGGTGGCTAGGCTCGCTTAGTACCACTGGACATGGTGCAGATGAGTCGTGCTAGGAGTGATGTAGTGTGGGTTGAGAGATAACTGTCTACCGGCTGGTTGCAACGAGAGATGCAAAAAAGGTGAGCAGGGAGTAAAGGTCACTACTGTATCGTGTTTGCGTAAACTACAGTTTACAGAATGCCTCAAAGGAGAAGGTTGTATTGCATTGTTTATCTGTGCACCTGCAGATCTTGTCGCCCCCAGTTGCTATTTAACGTACATTATTAACAACGAGGCGCTAGTCGGTTCTGAAATGTCTATGCAATAAACAATTGCGTTTCTTTTATGATGGACAAAAGGTGAAGCAACGATAGAATGCTACGAGTGTCGCAATTGTGCTTTCGGAGGAAGCTTCTACACCAGAGGATCAACGACTCTCCTCGGATGCAAGGTTTGCATGGTAAATTGCTTTTTCCTAACTTCCTTAAGCGATGCTATTATCCTTTTTTTGTATGTTTACCAATCAGGAATCTAGTTTGGCCAGTCCTCAAAACCATATTGTATCCTTTTTCCACTGTTGCATTATGTTTTCGATGAGTCTCCTAAGATGACAGTGCACGAACGTGCAGTATGATAGAGATTCGTTGGTCGATCTCACGGTCTTATTGTGAATTCAACCAACGAGTCTCTCCATCATGCGCTTTTATACGAAATGTAAGCCTCCACAACAGATGGTTATACCATCAGTGCAATAAATGTTTTTCCTTTTTGATCATAAGCTATCGGCCTCCATTTTCCATGTCTATATTGCCATCACTTTGTATTAACGCACTTGGATAGTTCTATCAAGTGGTACATAGTAAAAATATTTCAAAATTTTATGGATTAGTTTAAAGAATCTTCACCCTTTAGGACTTGGGGCAAAGGTATCCCACTTGGGAACTGCCATCATGTAAATTTAGGCCAAAAAAAGAATTACAAATAAAGCAAATTCGTCGAATTATAGAGTACATAACTAATTAATAATTAATAATCAAAACTTTCCAGCAATATTGAAATAAAATTGTACCTATGGGTACTTATTATTTGCAATTTACTGCAACTTGGAAGTAAAAATAATGCTGCTATTAGATTGCTGTGTTTGCACTTTACTAATACGCTATAGTCGTCTCGGCAAATAAAAATCTATGACAAGTCCTCTTTGGCCTCTGTCTCGTCATATTTAAACTCTAGAAAAAATCTCAGCCTTAGCCACCAAATTCGATATTGGGCCATTAGCATATATATTTTAAGGCCTTCTAAGTGCTTCTTAAATATTTTAAATAAATTTAAAGTATAACATATTAATTTAAGCGGCTTAATACCCTATTTATATCGTCGCTATTATTAGCATTTCTGTGCTCCGTCATGGGGATGAAATAGTTTTAAAGCTGCTCACTGATAGTTCTGATCATGATGCTATTGGAATGACGTCATGAGTGCAAGGAGATGAGTAGAGATAACAATTCTATTGAATTTCATTTAATCTTGCCTACCAAAAGGCTGTCTCACCCAGTACGGCTTCCGTTCAATTTGCACATTTTCGTTCCTCGAGGGAAGCCACTAAATCTCACCAGTTGATTTCATTCTAGCCCCCAAGACTGGTCAGCAGAATTGGAGCAGTGAAACAGTTTCACTCAAACTTAACCTCAACTTTATCCTTGGCTAAGGGCCAAAGGAGGCTAAGGCCATGGGCGATCGGATGTTCGGGTGAAGCATTTGCTCGAGGGATATGGGTTCTACTGAGGGAGGATGCGGGGCTAATAGAAATTGAGCGGAAAAACGCAACTTTTTCTTCATGTCACGGTGTGTAGATTGACTTTGTGGCTGTGAAGTACCAGTCAATTGCAAGTGAATCTTTCCGTTCATTCCAGACACATGGAAAGTAGCAATATCCATTCTGCCGCAAAGTCCCGAATTGTGAATGCCCCCATATTCCTTTACGAATGACGGCTTGGCTGCAATCAAATTGGATTTTAACACGTGGCAGATGTGCAGCGAACAATTGTGGAAGTGAACTTTTCGGTTTGAAAGCAAATTGGCTTGACTGGGAACCCTGTTTTCGCAACTGATCGTTTATTGCTCTGACGATATCTGTCACGGTTCGGACAGACTCAGGCTCAGCGTGGAGGCATCGGAAGATGTGTCGACTTTTTCGCAAAAATCAGCAGGCACAATCGGGGAAAAGCAATCCTCCCTCTGCTTCAGGTGAGGCCAATCTGCGAATCCCGTCCCACCACTTGTTCTCCCGACATGAAAAGTCGAATTTAGTATTGTTTTCGTGACTATCAGTAAATCAGTAATATGAGATGTATTCACCCAATTTCATTTAAGGTGATGGCAAATATACGTTTGCTTCATCGACAATCCCACCCAAGAATATGATAAATTACAAAAGGCCTGGCCTTCCTTGAAATTCACATTTGCCCTGTGACCCAAAAGACGCTCGTGGCAATGCGGTCGAGTGGTTAACAGGTCAAGCTCCCATTCTGCACTGTCACGGTTCGACTCCCGCTGAGGGTGTTGCTAGGACCGATGCGAGGTCGAAAAGGCAGTACACTTCAGCTTGGATGAGAACAACTTTTGCGAAAGCAAGGCTATGTGAAATTAAATGAAAACGTCAGTTCAACTCATATCATTGTGGGAAAATTGTTCTTCTACCAGTCCTTTATCACCTTAAACGAAATTGTGTGAATACATCTTATATTACAGGTTAAATTAGACATGCACATTCAATGATTCTGAAGGATGCTTTTCCTACAACTATTTAAGTAAGTCTCCCGTATGAACTTGTCGTTTGCGAAGAACTGCCGCTTCGAGCTCGCCGAAATCCCATCTTCACTCGCGGCAAGATTCGAGCCCAAGTCGGGCGCATTTTGACGACACGTTATCAGTCACTATGTGAAATTCAATGGAAACGTCAGCTCAACGCATATCCTTGTGGGAAAATTGTTCTTCTACCAGTCCTTTATCACCTTAAACGAAATTGTGTGAATACATCTCATATGAAAAGTCGAGTCACATTAAATGTCGTGATTGCAGTCAGCTGATTCGATTTCTCTTTTACGGGGAAATCTTTTGTGATATTTTGACTTAATCAAGACAAGAAATAAAATAATTGAGGTCATCATGTAGCTTCCGGTAGGTGTTGAATGAATTAGTCTGCAGACCGACTGAAAAGTCACAGTCGGATCAACAATTCGGGCAAATCAAGAGTGGGCAGACAAACTGGACCAGCAGAAGGTGTGCTAACGCTCCAATGAGCTCGACAACGTATTAACAAGCTAGAAGGAAGATATGAAGATAAGGGTAGGCTGATGTACCAGGACTGAAGAAGGAGTGATGCCACAAACGTTCGGCAGAAAGCTAGTCATGGAATGTACTTTACTCTTTTGTACTTTGAGCTAAAACTGGCCAGACCGATTGGCGATGCCGTCTACGATACCGGTTTTGGAATGCATACATTCGCTGGTCCGGAGCTGAAAATTGCCATGCCTACTGCGCCGAGGGCGCCGGGCAGGCTGTGCCCACCGAGAGCTCCCCGACAGCCACATCTGTGGACAGATTAAGAAGCTCTGTCATTGCAGAATAATGCATTTAATACTTTGCCCACTTTATTCTGCGAAGCCCGACTTAAGCCGGATGAGTTGGACTCCAAAAATAAACAGTTTGTCGAAACAAACTACTTACTTGGTCTATTAGTAGGGGGATCCGAGACATCAGGCGCATGCTATAAAGTAGACTCGAGCAATGCATCTGCGTTGAAATATGGTTTGGCTCAGAGACTACTTATGAATATGTATGAGCTGCGCTCAGTCGATTTCAACCTAATTTTTCGTATTTGAGTAGAGGTTCGAGACTACCAGTAAATCAGTAGTATGTGATATATTCACCCAATTTCGTTTAAGGTGATAAAGGAATGGTAGTTGAAGTTTCCCACAATGATATGAGTAGAGCTGACGTCTCCATTGAATTTCACATAGCCTTGCTTTCCTAAAAGTGGTTCTCATCCAAGCACCAATGGACTGCAGTCGAACCGGT